AAACCTACCGTAAAATCTCCGAAAACAATGCGCGATCGCACTACCGATGCCTTTGTTGTGACTCCCCCAGTTGGTAAACGAAAAACACCAAGGAGATCAAAGAGTACTCTGGCTCCGCGGTCCCGACAACAGCCCCCCACAGTAAAGGCAACTCCGCTTGAAAGGCTGGCACCGGCCTTCACCCCCAGAACGCTGCATATTCGCAGAACAACACGTCTACCTCGCCTCAAATCTACCGAACCGCCCGCGTTTCCCAGCATTACCACAGGTCCTGTGTGGACAAACATGTATTAATCCTAACTCTATGCAAAAGCAACAAACCAAACAACCGTGTATAGCGTACATCTACTTTGCTGTGAAAGTGCCTGTGAGCAAAGAGGGCCCACACAAAGGCAAACGATCTTTGCTCAAAGCAATCCCTTTTTTCAGGATGATTGGTTCCCAGTTTTACACTGTGACTACAAAGCTCGCACCTGTGCCTCAACAGTGTTCCATTAAAACATGCGTAGGCGCGTTCCGATCTGTAGGAGATTACGTGAAAGGGCTCCGAGCTAAATGACCGTAAAAAACACTTTTGAATTTTCACCCCGATTTTCACCTGGACTCTGGTTTTCCTCGTTGAGGTGAAGTAGCACATTGGGCTAACGACTGAGATGCAATGTGTGCTAGAACTGTGAATCGGAAGACTGCAATTAATTTCTTGGACCTAGATCTTAAGTTGGCTGTATGGTCAACTCGGATCCAATTTTTTTGTATGTCTCTGAAGTGCATGGCTGATAATAGAAACGTCGCCTTGACTTACGCCTTCCACAATAAATAAAAATTAGGCTGCGAGGTACAGGAGGAAACATGGATGACTATTTCTGACTTATTTGCCGTCATTGGGAGATAACGCTCTAAACTCGAGGCGGACAGACACTTCAGTTTCCAATTGTGTTTCGTTCTCTTCAAGGCCTAAACTCTGTCGACAACTATCGGGAATACCCACTTACTGCAGTACGATTTTCGTTGACCTGGATTGGTTTCAGGACGAAATATGATCGTTTCGTTTTGTCATGGGGCTCCGCTCTAGAGTTCGCGAAAGAAAGCTATTTTTGACACGGTGTAAGAAATGACGTTATATGAAAGCCGACGGAATATTGCTAATGGCTTCCAGCCATCGTTGCGCTAAGGGCTTCAGACGGAAATGCCCCTAAAGGATGATACGGATTTCCTAGAGGCCTAACCCCCC